CCCATTCGCCAAATCCTGTTGGTGAAGATTCATCATCCACCACCTTTTTAGTGTGGTCGCTACTGTAGAGACATTAAGATTTTTGATGCAGGACACATGAAAAATGATCAATGCCCTCTCCGGGATTTGAACCTGGACCTCTCGAATACTCGCCGAGTGTACTGCCGTAACACCACGAAGGCGCGCAGAAAGGATGAAGAAATATCTCGTAGTACGAGTTAGTGCGATGTAACCCTTCCTCATTGCAATCAGCTAGTTATGTAATATAACAATCAATAACATCTTGGCCCTTGAATTTGCTGCAGTTGTTCGATTCTCTTGTCACCAAGACATTGCTACCTTACGCTCCTGTGTTCTTCTTCATCTGGCTGGATTTGTAAAGATGTGTGTACAAAGAAAATAGAGACAGGGATGATCTCGCCGGCTCTGTTAATAAATGCTTCTGCGTGCATTGATTTATTGATATCAGCAACAATTGAACAACCGGCTAATATTAACAATACATCGTATGCACTCTGGTATTACTAAGTGGCCCAAGTTTAACGAAGGCATTTTCAACCCTGTACTAAAATAAAGAATTAACTATCGAATGTAACTCCCAAGGAAACATTTCTTTCATTTTTTCACTGTACTGTTTTTGTTGACTGTATTCTCATTTGGCTCTATCTTCATAACCGCTGAGAATCATAAACGTTTTATATAGCGTTTTTATTCAGTATTTAATCTAATCTACCATTTCCATCACTTCCTTATCCATGACCATTTCCTCTTGGAATGCTCTGTTTATATTTCCTAGAATTGCAAGTATACCCTCAACGGTGCCTTGGCTACATTTCTAAAATAAAAAAAAAAACTTGAATAACATTTGTTTACAGGAAATGATTAATTTTAAGTCAGCATTAAGTCTTTTTCAATCAAAAATAACATTTTCTACTTTTACTTAAGAAACAACCTTGATTAATATGCACTTAAGGAAAAGTAATTAAGATTTTTTTTCTTGCCGTAACTGATTAAATTATATGTACACGAAGCAAGTCTAAACACATTCGGGACCTGAAATTTTATCTCAGTTTCAAACAGATTTTGAAACGGTATGTTTGAAACGGGAAAATGTTTTCCTCTTTTAAAGAAAATAACCGATAGGTACTGTATGTATTAATGAACTTAACTAGTTTCGCTGAATAGAGACGAGTGAAACTCAATGAAAGAGAAGCTTGTTAGCGTGTAAATTGAATATTGAAGCATTTAAATTGGATTCAAGGTAGAATGTGAGTAAATAAAGTTAAAAAAAGAACTGCCAATTTTTTATTAGAATTTTTTATTAGAATTTTTTATTTAGTACCCAAATTTTTTATTAGGTTCACGAGAAATTTTTATATTTTGTGAGTCACTGAATAACGTAGCTAATTGATTTGTAAAACATTCCCAAAAGAAAATTTTTAGGCCTTTGTGATATAAGAATGTGTTTTTGAAAATAAGTTTTTAAAAATATCTGGGTTTTATTATTGTGCAAACACTTTGCAAAACTGAAATATGTGTGCATTAAATTTTTGTTGATTTACTCTTTCATGTTAAAGATTTTTCAATAAATCTTCAACATTGCTGGGTAATAAATAAAAATGAGTTAAATTTTTATAGAGGTAGTCTTGGATTGTTTTCCTGTGAGGGAGTGGGATTTGATTTATATTCACCAGATTACGGTAATGCTATATTTCTAAGATGAAGATGCCTTTGCGGAGAACTGTCTAAGGAAAAATGGTTCACACTGTTGTTACTCATAGTAAAATCCACGCAGACGCATATATAGAGGTTTGCTCCCCGGAATCCGAAACTGGATTGAGCTCTCAATCTTAACCATTCGGTCACTGGTGGGCACGATAATTTCAATAAAATGCCTTCTATTGAAGTAAAAGTCCGAAGTAGGATATGTGAAATTTCTGTTTGAATTTTAAAGGGAAAAAATCTGAACTTTATCACACTACATTTACTCTTTGACTTATTATAGGGTAATGTTTTAATAAAAGTCACCGTAAATTGAAAATACTTCTGATATGAAGAACATTTTAATTAATTAAGAAGTGATACTGATAAGGCCTTTTTAAACTAGCAAAATGGATACTAGAAGAAACTAGGGCATCGACACTTGTTGAGAGTTTAATAGTCATAGCAATCTTCAAGAAGGTATCAAAGTTTGACTGTAATTTTTTTCCCTTCCATTTAGTTCTTTAAATGTGAATCCTAGACATGAACTTCCACTTACAAAATTTATGGAAATAAGGCAGATAATTTTATGAAAACGCTCTCAATATTATGAATAGGATGGTGTTCGTAAATTTAAAAATATAAATGCTATATGGTCCCCATTGAACAGAAGTTTTCATTATACTTCATTAATTTATATATCAAGCTTTTCATAAACGCACGATCTGAGGAAATATTCGAAAACGAATTTACTGAGTCAACGTATATTAATGAACAAAAGTTAAGATTTTTCACTCATATTCAAGGATAACTTGTAGAGACATTAGGTTAATCTTTGGAAGCATGAAAGCTGAAAAATGAGCAAACACCTTCGCCGGAAATCGAACCACGGACCTCTGGATACCGGCTCAGCGTGCAGAACCACTACACCACGAAGGCACGCTCAGAAGGCAAGAGAAATACCTTATGACTGACCTCCTGGCATTCCAAAGATTTTTAATTAAAGATAAACATCAATATCCAAAGCTTCAGATAATTATGCAACGACTCTCTTCCTACGGCCTAGATCCCTGTCAAGTGTAAGTCCACATACAGTTTAAACTTAGTGAACTTTTACATGCTGTGATTATAGACAAAATGGATCCGCTCGTGAACTTTATAATAACTGCAATTAAACCAATATATCTGAATAACCCATGGACATCCTACCTCTTTAGCATTATTATAACAATTCATTTAACATTGTGTTGCCAGTACTAATTATAATTATCTCATTATGTTTATTTGTTCATTACTTATGTTTATCTCCTATTTTTGTTGCACCAAATCAGATGTTCAATTTATCTTGTGAATCTCAAATTGTATTCCTACTATTTTGTAATCTACTTATGCCCTACACCAATATTTTTAATAAATACTGGATGCGGGGCGTACTGTGGAATTGCACGATGTACCATAATAGGCAAACTTTAGACCTTTTGAAAAGCTTCAGTCTATGCAAATTCTTATAAAACTTGCAATTATCCCCCTTTTTTTTCTCTCAAAGAGTTAGTATGGGAAGGCATTACCAGTTGACCTATGGTACATCGCTGGTGTCCCCCATACTTTTACCTTTACCTTTACCTTATACAGCTATGAAAAAAATTAAAAATACAAAATTCGAAATGCTGCTTATGCTAAAAATGGATCATTATCGTACCAACACAAAGCTAAAAAATCGCCAGTCGACAACCACCTGTATTAATTTACTTGCAAATTAGGTCATGAGGTATTTTCTCCTTTCCGCGTGCCGTAGTCGTGTAATTGGAAGTATACTCAATGCGTCCTAGAGAGGCAGGGTTCGAGTTCTCGGGAACACTGCATATTTTTCAAGTCTCCTGCTTAAAAAAAAATTTCTACAACCTGTTGAAAGTATTTGGCAAGAAATTAAATACAAAATTAAAAGTATATATATCTGAAAGCTTAAGTTAATAACAAAAGATGAATGAAACAAATTTAGGCCAAAAATAACAAAACTCATATCATGCCAAAAAGATTATACTATATTTCAAAGGGTAGTTGCAATCCAACAAATATTAGAAAAATTTTAATTAATTCGTTGAAAAGAGAAATTATTAATTTTTAACTCAATATTTTATTTTTTTGAATATATATTTAACGAAAAAAGATGAATTTAAAAAAAAAATTTCTTCAAATAAAACTCTGTTTTATAGTTTCACATTTAAAACGTGTTACGTTATTTTCGAAAACTAAAAGTGTCGTTAACTTTTGTAAGTCTTGGTATGTGGATTCAATAGAAAGACTATAAAAGAATGCTCAGAGACTGTATGGAATAGCAAAATTCCTAGTAACTTTCGTAAAGTTTGTGAACAAGTATTTTAAAAAAAATTAGTTAGTAATTATTTGTAATGATATGCTGATATGTCTTGATTATAAAGCTCAATAGTATTCAATTTGTTATTTTTTTAGAAGCTGGGGTTTTCAAGCTGTCCTTTTTTTTTTTTTTTTTTTCCCTCCGTACATTCTTTTCACTACTGATCTCCACCCCTCCTTTACAAACTTAAAAAATAAGTACACATTTATTGAGATTTAGATTCCTTTTAAAGTGTTTTATTCATTAAACAAAAAAAAATATAGAAAATGTTAATAAATACCAAAATTTGAATAAAGTAGTTTGTTTTATATTCATAAAACTAAAACTAAATACTGAACAGCTAAATAAAAAGTTGACCGCATTCCCTGAAGCTATGAAATCCCCCTCAAGGGGGAATTCCACCCTGGTTGAGAACTCCTGGTTTACAGTGTTTCTAATAGAGTGGAAAATACCAGTTCTTTTTATATTTTTAATTCGGTACTATTAAACTGTATTAACTAGATCATTTTAAAGTGATTTGCAGTAATTTAACCAACCAAACTTAAGGGAGAACGTTTTTCGAATTGATTTTTGTAGTTAGAATTTTAATTTCTTATATAACACTAAACGTTTTTTTATAAAATATTGATACCATTTGCTTCGTTTTCAAAATATATCTTGAAATTTTCATAGAGACCATCTCCCGAAGATGACCACTTCTGAAGTGACCAGCATATTTTAACATCGCCAGTAATAATGTTCTCTAGGAAGATTACCTCCACAAAAAATAAATATGTCAGTAATTTGAGATGATCGTCTTAGGGCGGTTCCCTGTATTTGACAATCCAATATTTCTAATCACCAAAATTTTAATGAAAATAAAATGCAGAATTTTCCTTTCTTTTAATTATATAATAATAAAGAATATTTTTTTTTCTTATTTCAGACAGCGATTTCGATGAGATGGATGGGCCACAGGCCCGGTTCAAACCAGAAGCCATCGACACGCTATGTCAGCTGACAAAGTTCAACAAGCGGGAGCTCCAACTGATGTATCGGGGCTTCAAGCAGGCCAGTGAATCCCTTCGTTTTCTTTCATTTATAGTGTTAATTGTTTATATTTACGGTACAGAAAAGAAAACACGAAATCTCTTAACTTTCAACTGAATCTATGAGCAGTTCACAGAAACTTGAATTTTTTAATGTCTTTAAGGATTTTATTCTCGTTCATTTAGGCTAAATTTATCCTATTCCGGTTTATAATAATAAACGCAATTACATTCGCCCTCTTAGTGTTTATTTGTATTAAATGTAGGCCTATTTAACTGACGTATGGATTAACTTGTAAGGCTTATGTTAATTTTAACAGTTAAATTTTAAGTTAAAGTTCCTTTCCTGTCAAATTCTTAACTTCAACTTACTACTTCCGGCCAAAACGTAGTTTTGGAATCTTGCTGAATATTTAATGAGGAGGAGCGGTATTTAAACCACGAAGTTACTTACTGAGTCAGAGAGAATCAGAGTTTCTGATTTACACGCGTCTGCCTTTTTGGCCACTCTCTCTCTCTCAAAGCTGTTATTACGCTCGGCCGTACTCAGGCCCTTGCTAAGCTTCGTAGTCAAATAAGTTAAGGGGCCAACTCGATTTGAACCTTGATAGCTTCGGCTATACTTCTTTAGTTAATCTTAGTTTTAGGTTAATTCTTAGTCTTTTAAGTTCAAGTCCAAGTGCGGGCATTGCTTGCACTCCCAGGCGGAGTTTTGTTAAATCTTATTGGAATAATAAAGGGTTAGTTACTCTTCTATCTTGTTGTTTCTTGTCACCGAACTCAAGCGATTATTCGCTTATCAGTTCTTAGATTCTTCACTTCCAACATTAACTTAGAATTCCAAAGTGAAGAACTCTACAAACTGTAAGAATAATCTGAATGATATGATTAATATTTATGTTTGTTATCGCCTTTAAGTAAAGAAGATTTCTAAAACTCCCGTTTTGGTCAATGGAAATCGGAAAGTTAAATTATTTCAGTCGGAAAGATTCTAAAATAGCTTCAGACACTTTTTGATTATAATCTCAGTTGTTAGAAAGCAATAAATTTTATTTATTTCATGATGCATCTTCTAAAATTATTTTACTTCGGAACTATATTTCACATTTCTTCTCTAGTTAGATCCTTACTTTTCAACCTTTCGCAATTTAAACTACTTAATTTAACCTATGTTATTAACTAAACATTAGTTTTGTAGAACTTAATGTTTCTGATTTGAGGGATTTTTCATTCAGGAACAAACATTCCTCCAATGAAAATATTTTGATGCACCTTACTTATAATTGGCTAAACTCCAGTTAAAATAACGAAGTATCTTCTATTTTAGGAGTGTCCCTCAGGCATGGTTCGTGAGGAGACTTTTAAAGGAATATACGCTCAGTATTTCCCGAAAGGTGCTGACACAAGTCAGTATGCTCATTATGTATTCAACACCTTCGATCAGGATCACACGGGTGCCATTACATTCACGGTAAGCCATCGTTTGACTTAACACCTATGCACAACGAGGTTAAAAGGATAAAAATAAAGAGGCTTCATTGGACCGTATAGTTTGCTAATGGAAAAAAGACAAAACTTAGAATCCGGAATCAGATGAATATCACCATGGTGATCAAACTGTATTGAATTATGATACATGTTTAGTTTCGAGATTTAATACATAATGAAATTAATTTCCTTATGTATATTTCGTCGTAAATTTATTATGTAAATTATCATATATAAGATCATATATTACAGAAGTAGTATTTACAGGTTCTTAATTCTCTATATTTTATTAGTTTAAATATAATATTAACTAAAAGTGTTTACCCAATATACGTTTTCTCTTTCATATATTTCTTAACATTTTGAATTTAGCATGAGGTTAAAAACGAATTTATTTGCTTTTCATCAAATCCCTAAATAAAATGTCCTATTTTTTAGACATGAAAACAAGTTTTAATCATGTAACTCCCTCATCCCCAATAAAATTAAATTCTATGAAAAATTTAAAGAAAAATTAATAATTATTTAGAGAAACGTACATAAGAACAAATCGGGAGTGGCTCTGAGCATGAAATGTGAAAATGTGCAATGCCCTTCACAGGATTCGAAATACGGGCCTTCCAATTACTAGCCGGACGTGATATCTTATTACGCCACAAAGGCACACGGAAGAAAGGAGTAATTACCTTACAGATCGATCGATCTGAGATGCCATGGAAATCGAGCTCATATTTGGTTACATGTGGAGAAAATGTGAAAACCATCCCTGCAAATATACTAATTATTTTTCAAACGATCGTTTCCAGGCTGAAACTTCCAGTATTCAGTGGTTTTTATCCACATGATAACTGGTGTGTCCCTCTGAATGTGAAAGAAGGAAGAAAACATGTCGAATTTAAGAGCTATCTTAGCAAATAAAATCTAAAATTATCTAAATAGGATGCGAAACATGGGTTAAATTATAACTCATTTTCTGCCTTCGTGATGTAACTGGAAACATGCTCCATGCATATTCGAGAGGTCTTGAGTTCGAATCCTGGGGATAGGGCATTGCGGATTCCTTCAGTTTCGTGGCATCGAAAAATTCTAAAATACTCTTCAAAATGTTTCCTGCGTTGTGAAAATTATTGTCTATGTCCTAGCTGTACATAAAAAGAATAGCGCTCTTAGCTAAAATTTTGTTAAATAATAGAGACTAAATTTTGAGACTCATGTAAATAGTGAATAGCATTAATAAGTATAAAATTCTATAATTGGTTTGTTAACCAGAGATGCAGCAAATTCTGTCCTTTTTTGCTACTATAGTTCCCCCCCCTTCATGTTTTACAAATCCGTAGCGTTAAACAGTAATTTGTTTCATATTTCATACAACTTAAACTGATTACAATTGAGCAATATATAGAATAGGAAATATTTATCAAAATCTTCAATTGTTTTGGTAAAAACGTTGCATGCATGTAATCTAATCTACTCACATATAAATACGTGTTTACTGCGTTTTAGGTCACGGTTTCGCAATTCAGTAGCGGATCGCAATTGAAAAATATTTGTTTAAGATTCGTAGTCCTTATCTTATCAAAAACATGATTGGAGTAAACTATTCAACAAATTTCTAATAGTTTGTAATCTAAAACGCAGTCCTTGAGAAACAAAGCCTAAACAGAAATCAGATTATCAGTTTCATATATTTCAAGCGTAAATCTTAAAACACTGTCATTGATCTGTTTAATTTTTAAAGCTTCTAAATTTATCATAAAGCCGCCGTGTTAGCATGGACTTGAGGGACTCAACTGTGACTTGAGGCACCCGATTCTTGGGCTCAAATTTGAATCCCGAAGAAGAAATGGATGTTTGTCTCTTTGATGGCAGGAAGGTACTCAAACTATTGTCAGTCAGAAAGTTTTCTTGGAAGATTGGCAGAAGACGAGGGGGTAAAAGATTATTGGATCTGGCCATCGGAGTGTTCTCCATCGACACTGGAATGGAGCTTCATCCTTCTCACGGTTGCAGTTCGATCGCCTCCTATGGCCGACGTTGTTTGTTATGAGGCACCTAAATGACCGAGAGGTTCAAATAACTGTTTAACAAATAGTGTCGGACAGATGGAGGAAGAATATTTATCATAAAAAATGAATTGGAATGGTTTGTATTTGCGGTAGCATTAAGAAATTAGAATATTTTATGAGGTTCATGTAGAAAAGCAGGTCTTAGAAAGATGTTACCTAACCGAATGCTTAATCTGTATTCAATTTATAGAATTTGATTAACTTATTAACGAGAGCCATCTTAATCGAAATCAAATACGCTTTAAAAGGAAGTTTAATTATTGTACGAAACATATTAATTATTATGGAATTTTTATTACGCATTGAACAAAAATATTCTATTTTGACCGTAGTTTAATAAAATCTTAAATTTTTACCTTCCTTTTCATCGTGCCATTTTTTTCATAATCGTTTTAAATAAAATTAGAAACTTCTTTGCTGGACGAGAAATCTACTAAAAACTTTAGTAGTAATGAAATTTAAAGACAAACTCGAAACAAATGCATACACACGGTTAGTTTAGAGCTCTTTTTATTTTTTTTTTAATACAAGCCAGCTAAAATAGTTATCATTATGCTTAGCAGTACCATTTACTGAGTGAAAAAAATAATATTCAAATTAATCAGTTCCTAGTAATATTAACTTAATGAATTGATTAAAATAATATTTCTTACAGCTCTCCTTACGCATTTCGCAAATGAATAGTTGCATTATCAAATCACTGTTATATCATCGTAACTATTTATCATCTCCTCATTGATAAAACAGCTTGCTTCAGTATAGTATATTAATAAGTCCTATGATCTAGACTTTAAGTAAACTGATCGTTATTTTTTTTTACATAATACAGCTGAACAATGAATGAAAGTGAAAGGAACTTTAAATCCTTTTTTTTAATTTCCGACGGATTTGAAAGAAAATAAATAATTTGCGGATGTGGAGCTATAAAATGTGTTGTATTGTTACCACGATTATTACAATTATTACCAAAATTGCAAAATTGTTAAGAAAGAAATATTGGAAGTCCCAACGCTGCAACTGATGTACCATCGGTTCTGGTTTCGTTTGGTTTATTTAACTATGGCAAAGCACTCGAGGGCTATCTGCTTAAGTGGAGGGATGACTTCGTGAAGGACGGTTTTGGGTAAACTGGCTTGCATACACATTACACATGGGGAAACCACAAAAACGCCCATGCGGTCATCGTGTTCGCCGGGATACGAGCCCCGGACCGAACTACTAGTGTTTAGCGACTTTACCTTTAGGCCGGTGGTGGGCTTACCACCGGTTCCGACAAACGCTTCGAAATACGGTAAATTATAATAGTTTATACGTTCCTTTCAGTAAAAGTGTTACCTAAAATTTTAACAAATTCATAGCTTTAAAATATATTTACTGAACCATAATACGTACCTTGCGATAATGCTAAGCTATCGAATAGCCATTTTTGTATAAGGTATTACTCCCGCCTTCTTGACATGCCTTCGTGGTGTGGTGGTCTGCACGCTGGACGCGTATTCCAGAGGTCCGTGGTTCGGCTCCCGGCGAAGACGTTGCAGATTTTTCATCTTTCCTGCTTCCAAAATACCTAATGTCTCTACACTTGTTCTATATTAAATTCTTAGCGTTTCTCATTTAATTGAATATCCTGACTAAACACGCCTCATATTACTTTTTGTTTCAGAAAAATCTAGCTTAACATCCTTCTCAAAACGAAAAATGATCAAAATGGGGGTTTTAATCTGCCAGATAAGTTTCGATACTTCTCATTAGCCTATCAGTATTCACGAATACTTCGATTGCATACCTAGAAACTACCATTGGGTCAATGAAAAAAAAATAATCTTACTACAATATGAAGCATATTTGTGTTACGTAATAAAACAGAAGAGTTTAATGGTGACAGAATTACATAATGTAAGAATAACATGACAGATCAGATAATCCCAGAGTATATTATACATGCAGTGAAGTTTCACAAAAGTGCTTAATATTATGTACTTTTCAAAGCAGCATTGTACGTATATCAAAAACATTTCTCATTTTTCAGAGTCTAGCTTGAAGTGACAGCATTAGTATGCCCTTAATGATACTTGAATGAGTGTATTTACTATTTGTGCATGCAAAACCATAGTTTTAGAATAATTTCAGAAGTGTCTGGATAGATGCCATGAACTATCTACTATTATGTTCCTTTTCAATAGTGTAAATATGAAAATGCATTTCAATGATATAATTGTATGTATTGTTCTTTGATTTGTGTTAAACGCCCCGCACAACATGTAGTGGTAAAAATTTTAGTTTTGTTTCTTGATAGTATTTATATAAATTTTTAATAAGAGACAATTTATTGGTTGAGTGATATAAACCGCATTGTAATTAAATATTCAGTGAATATATGCTGAGAGCCATTTGAGTGAAAATCCAATAAATTTAAAAATAAAATTGCAGTAAAATTTAAAACAAAGAAAAGAAAATGCACAGTAGCAATCTTCCTTTCCATTCCCCTTCCCTTATTTCCCCTTTTTCTCCCCTTCGTAGTTCCATTCTTTTTAACGCACTTTTTATTTTGATATTTTGTTTTGCTTTGCTTACAAAGAAAAACTTTTCTTTTTATTGACAGAGTCTCCATTAAGAACTTTCATTAACTTTTTTCAACACAATAATTACGTTAAGCGGATACATTTATGAAGACATTTTTAAAGCAAATATTCAGCGTTTTCCCAAATTCTTCATAACGGTTTTCTTCTGCTGATTAATACTGATTTATTTTATGTTTAAGGTAAGATATTAATTATGAAATTTAGGATGTTATTTTAAGGTTCCAAAATGTCTTTCGAAATGAAAATTTTCACGTGTTTTCATAGAAGAATATTTTTACACTAGAAAAATAATCTTCATTTAAAAATACATACACTTGAACGTGTAAAACTGATATCTTAACTGCAATCAATTTTAATTAGCTCATAATGTTTATTTTCCGTGCTCATGAGCAAACACCTTTTCATAATGGAAAAGGTATTTAATTTTCGTAATTCTTTTGTACTGCTTTCATGATTATAATTCTTTACAATTTTATCCTATGTTTTATGTGATTTTATTTAATTTCACATAATTAATGGTTCATGTTTGAACGCATTAATTTCCTAAAATTATTTCTGAATCAGTTTACTCCCGAGTTTTATTTTATTTTCCAGCATGAAAGCATTCATTTCATAATAACGTACTTCGGAATTTAAACGCTATCGCATTTGTTAATTTTAACAAATAGATTTTGAGACGCCAGAGTTAGAAAGTCTGTTACATAGCAAGAAACCTTAAAAAATGCAAAATAGTGCCATAAATCTAACACCGCTTTCCCACTGAGCTGCGGTGTACCCGTAACTGTTTTTAGGGCATTTTAGAAATATCTATCTATTATAGTTTCATGGAAACCGATATAATGATGAGTGGAACTCTTATGAATTTAAATGTAAAAAGTAACTTCCTCAGTGGTTAATCTTTCATAACTTATTAGTCAGAAATAGAAATATGAGCAGCTGTTATCTTAATGTATAGAGTATTTCAAATAATAATGTTTTTATGTTCTATTCGAAAAAGAATTTAATTCTGAATACATTTTTTATTATACTGTTAAAATCTATTAAATTCGTTACTCTGATATTTTTTTAATATATTACGTAAAATGGAAATGAAAGAGGATATATTTTCTTTCTGTCAATTGAAAGATATTAAAAGATCCATTCATAAAGCCCAAAATTTAATGCACTTCTGTAAATGCAAAATTTAAATTTAAATAAAATTTAACGCAAAATCAAAAGCATCTGAAAAGATTATATGCAATAAAATTTTAATCTCATTCATTCAAAATCAAGAAAATAAATGGACTTCCAAATTCTAACATTTTTACAAGTACAAAATAGTTTGCTTAAGCTTTCAATTAGCACTGCTCAATGTGAATAAATATGCCAATTAGTTTCACTTATTAGTTTCACTTATTAGATCTAGCAACCGAACTGATGAGATCTCTCAACACTGATAGTAGTTTCATTTTGGGTACTATTCCTAGTGAAACAGACATGCAAAAGAAGCGTCTGTTTGATTTCCCTCATTCCTGACATACTATAAAAGCTAGTCTTTTATGAAGGCCGCTTTCCAAAAGCCGTTAGTTCTCTTGCGACTTTTCATGATAAATTTAATACTTATCTAATATACTCATCTTAAAATTAAATTAATGCTAACATAATTTTAGCATCGCATAGTAACTCATACCTCAAATAGACAATACAACTTACTTTTCCCACAGTTAAAAATGAACACATTAATTCCGAAGTAATGCTTTCAAAATATCATTTTCTTGCTATTTTGCTGTCTTTATTTCAGAACCTTTCTAGTGCCTTTCAGTGAATATTTGCTTCATATAAATGTCAAGGGTAAAATTCATTTTATTAAAAAAAATTCAGTCTATCTTCAACCAGTTTCTGGTTCACAAACATAGCACAAAAGAGTCACTATAGATCGCATAGTAACATATTTTTACAACCAGAATTAAGTAATAACTAGACGCGCAAAGTGTAACAATTAAAAGTATATATAAATACACTTTTTATATATTAAAATATATGTATATATTTAGATATCACAATGTAAAGTTTTTCCCTTTTTTCCAAGTGTTTCGAAAGCGTGTAGGGAAAATTCTCGATACATTTGAGATTCGATTTTTGGTTTTAAATGAATTTTAATGAAAATTTAATTGAACCTTTTTCGGTTTTTGATCTCAAATGAAATATATGTATGAACCAGAAGTCCGAAACATGTTTTCGAAATATATAAATTTACTTTTATGAAACTTTAATTCATTTTTCTCTGATGAGTTCTGAATTGAAGTTCAGTTTTTATATTTTTATAATTTTGTATAGTTTTTCCTTTTCGCATTTTATTTTATATTATAGTTTGTCTTGATGATTGTTGAGTTCTTATTTAAATTTTTTAAGTTCATTGATATGTATAGATATAGATATAGATATAGATATAGATAGATAGATAGATAGATAGATTAATAGATAAAAGTATGTAAATATATATAGATATAGATATATAATAGATAAAAGTATGTAAATATTATATAGATAGATATATTAATAGATAACAGTATGTAAATATATATATATATTTATTTATTTATCAATAAAACCAAAGCCTAGTAGTAAAGGCGCTCTTGACTTTCACCTTACTTTCAGTATAATTAATCTTCAATCCTCCAGAAACTTAAATGGAATGAATTAAACTAAATTTCTTGGAATTTGGATATATCTTTAGAGAGTTACTTAATGTTTCACAAACACATGTCACGGTGGCGAAAGAGGGAAAATTAGTTCAAGTCTTGCTATTTAAAAACGGGTCAGATCCAAAATATTTCTACTGACTTCCTCCTTAGCAATTTTACTTACTAGATCATTTACATTATTCACACTGTTTAAGAGAAAAAATGGCAGGAGAGATTAATTAAATGAAACCTAGATAGAAAAAGGAATAAGTCGTTCTTTTATTAAAATTAATTTCGTAAACGTTTGAACTTTTTAATTTATTATAATAAAGTCCATGAAAATTGTCTGATTAGTAAATGTTTTGCATTTCGTGCAACAAATATTAACATTACTAAATTTAATCTTCCATTATAAATGCACTCAGCATCGTGTATTATAAATGCTTTTCATTGTTTGTCACATTTGTACAGATTTCTAGAAAACTAATTTAAAACATTTTTTTTTTGGTACTTCCGTTTTGAGATTTACTGCATGATCAATTGTTTGAAATCTTTCTTCAACACTGTTATTTTTCAAATGCGTGTGCATAGTACATTTATAATGGCAACAGCAATTGCTGATGGAAGTACCTGCTGTTTCGAAATTCATAGTGCATAGCTTTAATTCAAGCGGATGTTTGTTTAATATCAGAAATTTACATTTTTCGTAATAAAAATGATACATGCTCTCTTTCACTCCACACAGATGAAAAGTGAAGTGTTTTTCATTACTTAAGAAAGAAAGTTTACATTTTAAAAGCTACAATCTGAATTTTCGTACATTATCCTTTTTAATAAGTGTTAATATCCCAAATGTGTTAGGATTTTGTGATTAACCAACTTCAAATGCTTTTAGGATTTTGTAATTGGACTTTCGGTGCTTGCCCGTGGATCGCTACAAGAGAAACTTAGGTGGGTTTTCAGTCTCTATGACATTAATGGCGATGGCTACATCACAAAAGATGAAATGAGTAGAATTGTCACATCTATTTATGACATGATGGGAAAGACAATGGATCCTCCTTTAGAAGAGTTTACTACGCAGGATCACGTGGAACGAGTCTTTCAGGTATTTATACACTTAAAATCAAAATTTGGCTTGCTTTGAGGCTACTAAATTTAAGCTAAGGGATTTTTCTAATGAGGTATCGTGGTGCTAACTTAAAAGTGAGCGCACATTAAAGTGAAGCTAATTGCATTAGAATTGGACAAAGGTGGGATATTTTCTGAGTAGATAAAATTATTTAGCAAATTGTGAGCAAAGGTTTTATAAAAATTTAGCACTAAGAAAATATAAATTTATCAAAATCGGAAATGCAAAACCCCATTTCGGTTCAAGTAACTATTTTTAGTATTTCATTATAATAAATGATTTCATTAATTAACAAAAAGACTTTTATTATTAAATTCTTAAAAGTATATTTTATTATTAAATTAGTAAAACAATTCAAGCCTATTAAAATTAATAAAGATAAAAAATAGCCTATTATAACTAATAAAACAATTCAAGTAAAATTATACCAAGCATATTCATATATTTATCTACTTATTACATTAAATTCAATCTTCTTTCCCTGTTATTAATATGTACATATATCCCTATTTCTTAAATAATTTGCAGAAGCAAATATGAAACTGGAAAAATCAGATACACTTCAGAAAAAATGTATCAATTATTCAGCAATAGGCTGACAAAACATAAATGACTAATTTTAATAGCGGTTACTGTTGCTTCAAGCTCAAATCTTAACTGCTTTTTATTTGTTCAATGAAGTACTTGTTAATTAAATTATTTGCTAATAAAAAATGTAGAATATCAGTTCTTTGGAATAAACAGGTATTTTGATACGCAAATAACATTTAATGAAATATTTTGTTGAAATGTCATTACCTTTCTCAAAATATACAGGGTGATCCAAAAATATCTAGCAAAAATATAACGGCAATAAAATAAGTAGACTTTGTAATGGAATGTCCGTGTTAAGAGACATTTTTCAAAAGTAGATAAAAGAGCTCTGCTGCAGTAAATAGTCTTAACTCCTTCAAACTTCGAGATGTAGGCTTCTCTACACCAAAAAGGAGCTTGCCAAATGCATTTTATCTACGGGTTGTAGACGTAAACGGACAAGAGTCCTGTATCATCTCAATGCGCCATTTCCGATTACACGTTCCGTTACAAAGTCTCCTTACTTCGGTTCTTTCTATGAGCCTACAGTTGATAATATTTTGAATAAATAAATATATAAGTTTCACAGCATTTTGTTTTCCGTTTTTAATTCTGTTATGGATATACGTATATTGATTAGTAGTGCAACGTAACGTGTGCATATTTTCATTCAGAAACTGGATTTGAACAAAGATGGAGTTGTAACTATGGAAGAGTTTATGGATTCCTGTTCTCAGGTAAGAATAAAATTCTTTATTTTTAGGTGCTATTTAATGGAATCAATATCCCATCGCATTGCTGAGATAACTTCCTGAGATGCATACTTCTTCAAACAACTTAATAGTTCCCCCCAACATAAGCTGACATTTTTAATAATTGCAATGTCTTTGAATTACTCGAATTTATAACAGTTTTGGGTTAACAATACCTTAAAAATGAAGATTTTATTTTTTTTGCAGTTTTATTACTTACTTATAGATAAAGCTAAGTGAAGAAATAAGGTATACATAATATATATGTATAGTAAAATTCATAATTACTTCCGATTTTGCTTCGAGATTATTTTTGTATTTTATATATTTCAAGGGACATTGTAAATGTATTGTGTTTAGATTCACTTTAAATCCAAAAGTGATAGATGAAGAGAAATTCGGTTACCAAACTACAGCTTTGCATCTGACATCAAACGTATTTCGAGTATCGTATATAGCAAACGGTGCTGTTTTTTCTGTGATTGTTACGGATCGATGTAGAAACAGAGAAAAAAACCTGAATTTCTGATTATGACAAGGAAAAGAAGACAAAGCATGAAATTTCCATTTATTCAAATATATCTGCAGGAAGAAGAAAGAAAATAAAAGGAAGAAGAAAGTGAGGATGACCAAAAAAGGAAAGAGATTACATCAAGACAAAAGTGCTGCGTCAGTATGGCATTACGTCCTGTTAACTCTTTTTTTTTTTAACTTGAATGTCGTAAAATGCTACATATCTGATTAAAAAAAACCTATTTTCATTCCAGACAAAGATTAGGTTGTTTTAATTATAGACGTAAATTAAAGTGAGAGGATTACATGGCGAAACGATATCGTTCTGATGTACAAACGCGCAACCAAATATTTCGTGGGTATTGATATAACAAAACAATTAGCATTGCTTTTTATTTACTGGTGAATTCCAATAACTTAAATTAGTAAATAACTTTAAAAATAAGTTCTGAAGTTAAAAATGCTTATCTTGAATCTTTAATCGTGTGATTGAAGTTCCCATTTCTCTAAAATGACATATTATTTTTCTCAGTGCAGTTTTACCAATGAATTCTTTGCGAGAAAAATCAGCCAGATGTTTGACATAGTTAAAAAAAGAAAAATTCAGGCCGCTTTTTAAATTACTGCTGTAAATACAGGAACAATAAAATAATAAAGCAAATTAATTCTTCCTGAGAGTTTTTAAAATACTTTTTCGGAAACATGTTTAACGCTAATGAAAGAGAGAGAATTTAAAAATTTTACTCCAACGAAAAATATTTTTGAAAGCTAAAGCTTTTGCGAGGAGAAGCTACTTAACGAAATATTTATTTTATTTTAATAATATTATATTCTCTTATGCCGCGAGGTAAAACAACCACTAATTTGCAAACCCGTTAAGCAGAGCTGCTTCGAAGGATTTAATTGGACCCAGAGCAAGTCGCGGAAATGAAAGACAAAACGCCATGAGGCATAAATATTTCAGTCATAATGATGTATAAAGCTCGCTCTAATGATTAAATTAATCTTAGAAATGAGCAAAAGAATGTCAGAATAAATATGAAACGGTATTTGTTTTTTCGACATAATTCCCATTTCCAACTTTCGCTAATGCAAAATTAATATTTGAAGGAATCAATAGAGGTCTATGAAAGTTTTCTTTAATTTAAAGCTAACATTATTCTTAAATACCAGAAAATAAAAGCCATGAAATTCGAAACTAAAGCTGAGATAATATGAATTAATTCCCAAAATTTAAGTTACTTTTATAGTTTTTTATTGTATTCCTCTTTAAGACAGAAATGTTGAAAGTGGGTTGCAAATATTGTAAATATAAAATAAGATTGCACAGAACATATTAATATAATATAAAGAACTATATTATTGGTGTGGTGTGATGGTGTATTTAATTACGGCAAAGCACACTAGGGCTATCTGCCTAAGGGGAGGAATGCCTTTCGTGGAGGACTTTCTAAGGGAAACTGGCTCGTATACACGTTACACATAACCACGAAAACGCCCATGCAGCCAGCCATTATTGATTAGTAGAATGTGTTTTATGCTTTTCGTTTTCTTTTTATAAAGAAATCCCAGAACAGAATTTAAACCTCATCATCAAAAGTTTTATAGGATCTGGGCTTCTTAAAATTAGAATAAGAACCCTGAAAGACAATTGGTGAGTTGTTACGATGTAAGTACCATAGAGACAAGGAAAGGGTGTAAAGGACACTTTTATTAACCCAAATCAATTTTAACAGTCGGCACCAACTCGTGCTTGCCAATATCTTCCAAAGTCAAAGCCAATATCTTTGACTTTAAATCAAAGATAATGGATGAATTAAAACTAATGAAATTTAAGTATAGACTAATGGATTCACAGTTTAACTAACGCGCAAGCTGTCTTTTAACGAAGTCTGCGTAAACAACTTAATAGCAAGAATACATCAACGCCGCAGAATACTGATCTCTAGAGAAACAAAGTTAGCGACGTGGCCTTCAAGCAGGCAGAACATTCTCCTATTTCACCCTCCAAAACCTTCCTTTAAGTATTTTCTTCATTCTGTCTAATTTGACTATCGCGTGAGCTAGAAATTTACATTCTGCAGGGAAATGGAAACGAGGCTGACAGAAAAGAAAATTAACATAAAATAACGGGTTAAAAACTTAAATAATACTCTACAACTTAAAATATTGGCATTTTATTACATATTACATAACGCATTTCTTTCAAATAATATAAGGACACTAAGTTACCCTTTAAAAGTTCTTTTAAACCATTTTAATCTGAAATCTAAAACTGAAGATTCAGAAAGAGAAGAAAATTAAAATCGGTTGTTATTTGATTACTGCTGAAGGGGGAAAAAATGCCCCAAAAGTTTTAATTAACGTATTTTACCAGGTAATAGTTCATTTTGTAACAAGCCTACGCTATAATTTCTACAACTGCTATTATTTCAGCAACTATGCAAATATATTACTGTAATAAAGATCATAACTATGATCATGAGAAGTTTAAGTGAATCAGATCAAGATAGGCATTTTCTGTGCTTAAAATGTTATGGGAGTAACAATAGTTTTTATTAAGAAAATTGAGTTACATGTTGAAAGTTTTGATGTGCTAGTTTATTATAGAGAAATCCGAACACTATTAAAGCGAATTTTTTTCAAATTAATAACAGTTTTAAAATTCGTCTGTAAAAGTTCTGATTGAAGTTTTATTTAGTGTCATTATGACGTAACAAATTCGGTGGGGTGTCATTCAAATGTCTACGCAATTAAGAAAAGTTAAACTACACTCTTTTGCAAAAAAAAAAATCGAAGCGCCATGAAGGAAGTGGTTGCTTTTGACGAAACTGAATATGTGTATGGATCACACACAGATAATAAAATGATTAAAAAATCAAGGCCATAGTATCTGTTCGCGGCTCATAATCACCCATTAAGTGTTCAAATTAGTAGTTGGGCAAACCGCCCCTGGTGGCAATGCATGCTTGAATTCGTCGAGGCAAGGAGAAGTAGAGGTTCCTAATGTCATCCTGTGGAACATTTCTGCCAGGCATTCATCAGTTGTCGCTCCAGATCTGCGAAATTTTGTGGTGCCCGAATCTAGCGGCCTACCATGTCCCAGACATGCTCGAATGGTGAAAGGTCTGGTGCCTTTGCTGGGCAAGGATTAACCGCACGCAGACAGTCCAAAGATATGCGAACGGTATGTTGCCTGGCATTATCTTGTTAGAAAATGGCCTCAGGATGACGTGTCATGAAGCGTAATGCAACCGGCCGCAGGATGGTATCAACATATCATGGAGCTGTTAAAGATGTACGGAGGATGACTAAAGATGACCTGCTGTCATAAAAAATAGTGCCCCACACCATCACACCAGGGGTTATGGCTGTATGCCTTTGCAAAACAAAGGCTGATTGGGACCGCTGGCCTCCAGACACGAACACGGTGGTCATCTGCTTCAAGAGTGAAGTGGGATTCATCGCTGAACACTATACGATGCCGGTCTGATGGCAGCCATGATGATCGGCTGCCACACCAGTCCAGAGACTCCGCCGATGTTGTGGAGTCAAAGGCAAACGTCTTAAAAGCCTCTGTGAGCGTAACCCCACCTCAGACAAGCGCCGTGAAATGATGGACGGTACCACGGGAGGTATAGATGTGGTTGTAGTGCGTTGAATAGTCGACAATGATACCGTTGGGGCGGTTCGGGGCTGGCGAACAATCATCCTATCTTGCCTCGCATTTGTGATCCTTGGCCTTCCAGAGCCTTCATTTCGTGGCAATTTCCTTGTAGCAACCATTGCTGCCAACATCTTTGTATAGCAGTGTCTGTACGCTGCAGGTGGCGGCCTGTTGCTCGGTATGACAATCCAGCTTCACACAACCCTACAATGCGACCACATTCGAAGTCGTTTAGTTGTCTGCAAGGTCTTCGATATTGTCGTAATGACATCTTTAGTTGCTTCTTTACGGAATTACAATGACATCAACAAACAAACAAAAAAAAAAAAAAGATAAATTTTCCGCTACTGTTACTAATTTTATTCTTTGCGAAATGCGAACTAGAAATGCGCGACATGATCGCTATTCCTGTTCATTTGCCTTGAAATTTTGATCACTTGCATGTTCGATCAAGATTTTATTGCATACCAAATTTCGTCACGATCGCAAAATTCCTTCTCGGTGCTTCGATTATTTTGCAAAAGAGTGTATATAGAAGTTTACAAAAGAATATTAATGTAAGTAATAAAATGTTATCGATTATGGTAAAGTATCTTCGCCATGTGATTGTTGCAATATTTCACATTATTCTGGAGTGCAAACCAAAGCAAAATTGTACAACACGAACAAATTCCGTTTTTCGAAGGCAAAAAAGAACCCGTCGAGCGTTTGTGTTTCATTCCATCCAAACATATTGCCAGACATACTTATAAATTGATTCTTATAAACTTATTTCGAGGTCTTATAATAAATTATTTTTTCTTTCCGGTTAGCTTATGTAAATTGATAGATTCTTATGTGATTAATTGTTGACTAAATGATGCCCTTTTTTTTAGGTACTCGTGCTTAATATATATAGTTTCCATATTTATAGTAACTAATGTGTAAACGTATGCATTTTTTAACTTCTTTCGGTAAATGCTTTTTAATGGTGTTTATGCTAATCAAAGTGGCTAATGCATAAAACAAATAACATAAATTTATCTGTATTTCTCTTTATAAAGAAAAATTTTAATTATCCGTGTTCTAGTGCTTGTGACTGCATTACCCAAAATAATTTCTTTCTTTTGATAGGATGAACACATCAAGAAGTCGATGACAGTTTTCAACACTGTATTGTGACAAATTGTTGGGGGCTTTCTGCCCCAAGAAGAAGAAGGAGAATTCTTTTGGTAAACGAGTTGTCCCTCTTTCCAAAACTTCACCAACAGCACGTTTTGCGCTGGCATTTGCATCCTTGGGATGAAAATTAACCATCAGAAACTTATTATTCTGGGACACTGAAAACTTACTTTTAAAGTGTGCCTTAGATTTGCTAAACACTGTTCTCTGCTTAACATTCTTATTGAAGGTCAATAATGGTGATTACTAAGCCCTTGCTCCTTACATCAGTATAATAACACATTCTAAAATATGGGTTCATAAAGTAAAATATTCTCAGCTGCATAATGTCGCTGAGCGATTTTCATTATGCAAGCTTCGCAAAAGCACTTTACAAGCTTATTTTCCCTATGTTAAACTTAGACACACTCTATGCATTTTTATTAAATACGTCATCTATGCATTTTTAATAAGTTCGTAAACAACGCTAACCAATTTTGTAATCCCGTCTTTGCAATACCCGAAGAAAATTTTGTTTTAATTTACCCTAGTACTAGTCTTGTGTGGCTAAATGCTCTCAAAATACAACGAATTTATACACCTTTAAAAATTTGCTTAAACCATTTTTAATTTTTAACTGCAAATAACTGCAAAGCTTATTACAGCACAGTATAATCCATATAAATAAAATGTAATAATACAATCATAATAAAGACTCCCTATAAATAAAATATAATAATACAATCATAATAAAGACTTGGTAAGTTATGAGTTGCAAAAATATTACATTTACTCTTTTCAGAAACACAAGTTACAGAAACATTGAGCATACGTTGCACGAATTTGCCTTTATATAGCAGAAATTGTTAATATAACATTTTGTTGAACACACAACTACAAATTTATTACAAAATTTAACATTTTTTACAATCGTATTGTGCATACGAGTGATTTATTCATCACTTTCCAGTCACTTTGTGCATACACAATAGGATCTAAATTACCTTAACAAAGATGGGTCGATATTATTCTAGTAATTCGTATATTTGGTTGATGAAATTTATTTAAGTATATACTTTGAATAAACCTCATTCAAAAACACAGTTATACATAACCCTTGATTTGTATTTTATTGCCGTCTGGCGGAATTCTAGGCACATCTTTAGAAATATAAATAAAACGAAAATGTCGTAAATAACATGAGCGACGAGTAAATTCTAAATACGAAATCTCAAAAGAATTTAACTGGCAGTCAATCTATAATATCTTTCGCGCTTAAATTATGGTAGCAGTCACGGTAACAGATTTACAGGACAGCATTCCTTATACTACTGCAAATTACAAATTCAATTTTTACCATTATTTGGTTGAATGATATAACATTTAGTTTGAGAACTCTATCCTACTATATACATTCAAATATATTTTATACATGTGCGTGGGTATATGCAGTTGTATGTGCATGATCATGTATGTGTATGTGTAGTTAGATATGGATGGATGAATATATGTACTTATTTTGTCCGAATATATGTACATTGTATGTGTTCCATCTTACATCCCACTAAAGTACAATGTAGGAATTATAGATTTGTGGTACATATTGTTACGTATAACTGAGAATATACTTTATTTTAGTTAAACTGAATTAATTTTCGCTATTTTCAGCAAGATAGAGTAGAAGACAACAATCAAATATTATTTTGCAGCTAAATATGGTATCCAAGATCTATTGTAAAGATACCTTATGACCAAAATTGAATATTTAGGCTTATAGTAAAATTCCATTGAATTAAAGTATGCTTTCTTTCTTTACTCCGACGGCGGGGCAGCCGATCCACTGGAACAGTTTGCATGTCGGCCAGGTGGCCCCGCTAACGGAATTAACTTTGCTAGAAAGTTTCAGGCTTATGTTTGGCGGAGGGTTAAAATACGCTATTAATAAAAACACAAAACCCATGGCCATGCTTTCCTATAAGTTCGTGTTTTATTTTCATGTACTTACTTATTTACAGTTACGCTCAATACATTACGTTCGGATATCCTCGATCGACAGATATATGAGTTAGAAGAAAGTTCTGCTTGTCTGTATATATATATGTATATGTTTATACTATATGCAAATATGTGTACACAATTATATATATATAGCTGGATAGGTTACGAGTAAATACAAATGTATCATTATTTGTATACGTACATATATATATATAATGTGAAATGTGATTTTTTCTGAAAGTTATATACAAATGTATGCATTATTATACTTACATGGTAACCTTATTATACGGTACGTCTTCTGTTTGAATGCATACGTATTAGGTATACGCATGCAAACAAACATATATACATACACACGTATGTGAATGTGAAATAACAAAGACATGTTCACATAAACACAAGTACAAAAACCAAAATTCACAAATAAAATATTTAAATTGAAATAAAACATTTACCTAATTAATTAAGCTGAGGTATTTTATGAAGAATTTTACATAATAATTCCAATAAGATGTAATCTTATTACCAGTATTCTATTAAGTCGGAAAAGAGTTAATAGAATGGTCGGAAGCTCTGAATCAGCACAGACAGTAAATTAATTCAACCTATTCTGAACTGAACTCATTTAGCCTTCTTGTACAATTTTTCAGAAAACATTTGCTGTAGAAATCGAAACAATCAAAACCTATTATCAGACACCTGAAACTTGAACTTCTATTCAGACGAACTTCTGCTGCTGAAAGGGTCAAATTATTATTTCAATTAGCGGTATACACTTATTCAGTCATTCAATAGGAAACTGCTAATTTTCAGGATTCAGAGAACAAATCTGTAAAATTTCTAAAAGTAGACAGGAGCTTGGGCAGTGACATCATTGCTCTTGTTTATTTTCCAGTTTATGAAACTGTCCATCATACGACTTTTACACGATATCATAGTATACATTTCATTACTTAAATATTTAAAGGTATTATTGTTAAAGTGAAAGCTTTTTCAATTGTCTGATGTGAAGTACCCGCATGTAATGGTAACTGATTCGATATGTTTGTTTAGCTGTAGGTCTCATATGATGCTTACAAGTATGTAAAAGGAGTATTTTCAAGTTTCTTATGTCTTTATTCGATTATAATATTCTTCTTTATTACAAGAAAAGCTAATAAAATGGATGAGAAGATATAAAATATTATATCTGATATGTTGTGTTTATTTTTCATTGTCTATGTGTGTGCATAAAAAGTACTTAACGATATTTTACTAAAATTTACATTTTAAATATTATTCCATCCTAAGACTCAGACAAATTTTCTCTTTCGGTGATAAACGGAAATTTTCACTGAATTGCGCTTGCAAATAACACTGACCTTTTTAACTAATTTATTCACTGAACAGTGAAGAATCATCTAAAGATAAATAAAATTCTGCAGAAAAACATTTCAACAGAAATGCAACGAATGAAAAATGTAACTATATAGGAATTTAAAAAGGTTATTAATTGACTCAAAATCAGTTAGATCAATTTAATACAATTAAATCTGAATAATTACCGAATTATTGATTGGCTGTAAATATGCCACTTGCTTCCTAAATTGCACAAAAATGCTTGATTCTTCAAGTATTTTTTAAATTATGTGCGATTTCAGAATATATTATATCATAAAAAGCAATGAAGCATTCTTAAAAATCTTTGATTTTTTTTTAATTTGTGATTATTCTGGCTTTTCAAAAGTTTCTTTTTTCAAAGTATGGAGTGTTTATCTTAAATCCTAAAAACAAATCAAAGAGACATTTGGGAGAATCAAAGGTACAGATAATTAAAGTAATTACACATTATTGAAAAGCGTATACAAGCAAAAGCGCTGCAAGTTTATTATTCTGAGCTTTTTTGTTGTTCTTGAAAAAGCATTATCTATTCTTAAGTACTAAATGAGTTTCAATGAGTGCTTAAGCATCAGTATCAAATTATCTGCGCAGATAAGAAAGAATCGACATTTTAAATTTACAGATCCAAGAAACAATAAAAAAATGCTGATTTCCACTATGATAATTGTTACCAAAATAAAATTTTAATTTAAGATCTAAGTGATATTAAAAAATGCTTCATGAGGTAAATCCAAAAACTAGAAGAAAAAATATCAAAAAATTGTTACTTTCGAATATATAAATACAAGTTACTAAAGATGCGTTCACATACAAATATATATATATATATTTGTAATAATAAAATTCCATAGCCAAGAATACACTTAAAAATTCTAACTGTATGTCTTTTCATTTTTAATGGCGACGTTCTCTTATTTGAAAGTACGTGGAATTAAATTCACAGCCCCGTAGTCAAGTTGTTTTTCCTGCCTTTTATACACGTACAGTTCTATAATGTTCTGGAAATATTTAAAGCGAACTGGATTGGCTGACGTCATTTCTTGGAAGTTCCGCCTTTCCAGAGGCTATAAAAGGACTCGCAAAAGAATATCGGGGGCTTTTCTTTAATGTAACAATGCAGTAAACTTCATACAAAAAGTTATTAGTAATTCTTTTTTATTTACTCCGAAGATATGAATTTTGTAAGTGCTATTTCTCCTGACCAACAATAAATGGATCCTGTTTTTTAAACTTATCGTCTGATAATTTAAGCTACGACTACATCTTCACAAATCTATTTATTCCGGACAAAAGCTGGTACATCACATATACATACATATATATATATATAATGTCGTATGATCTTAAATTCACTTAGTTCGAAAACAAGTTTTTCTAATACTTGCGCAATATATATATATAACAAATATAATGTTCACACGCAAATATATATGTGTATGTGATTTAGTTCTGGTTTGAGAGAAGGCACTCCATTAACGTTTTAGTCAGGGGCGCAATAGCGATACACATCGCAGACACAGATTACGTGTTAGATGACTGGAACTTCAGAAAACGCAACTAACTTGATCGTCATACCATCACTCTTTTTTTTTTTCTTTTGTTTTTTGAAGAATTTCTTGGACATATCTTAAGATATCTCTTCTTGGTCTAACAACCCTCTTATAGCCCCTTTCACATGCAACGCTCCTTCACACAGCTGCCGTTAGCAAGAGGAGAAAAAGGAGACATGAAAGAGTTTCGTCTTTAAGACACGTTCAGAAGACCACCGTCTTCCTTCCCTTTACACCTAAGCCTCTGTGAACAATCACGTCTCCGAATTGGCAGATTTCTAGTACTGTTTACACATTTTTAACGTTGTTTACTGTTGTTAATTTTGTAACTGTACTTTCGCAGCTGGTACCTGAACTTTCGTAATGGTTCCTGAAAAATATATGCTTTTTAATTATTATTATTATTATTTTATAAGCTGTTATTTAGTTCACTCTTGGTGCTTGTCGCTATGGTTAAAAGATGGTCATGGATTTTTTTAAACTGCTTCCCGATAAGATATAGATCTCAAACTTTGTACATACACCGCTTGTGGATGTGGTGTCACGCTTTTGATTTTTAGAGGATTAGATGTTTTTCAAATTTAAAGTTGAAACGATTTTTTGCAAATATTAACAAATAAACTGTGAATCTCAGAATATTATAGTTTGCACCATAACACACTGTGGAGGAAAAAAAATTAAATGAAATTTTTAACGTAATTTTTTTTTAATATTTTGAGAGAATTTTGGAAAATCGTTCATATTTTTAGACTTTTTGACGCCCATTAATTTTAAAATTTCATATCTAAAAATATATCAGTTACAAACTTCCGACATTTTCACAGCTTATAAAACAAACTTTTCGCATTAAAAAAAAAAAAAAAAAGATAAAGGAAATTAACTGGATGATCTTTTTACTTTTTTGAAAGATCAATGAAGCAGAATGGGAAATATTGGTTCTTCTTGGGCATCAATTCGAAACATCGGTTTCAAAGTAATAATCTCATTATATCACATTATTTTTATGACATTATTTATGCTATATAAGTTGTTATTGTTGCCAGTTGTTAGTTCAGCGTGAGATTGGAGATATTCTGAGTTAACTTTCTCTTAAGATGCGTTTTGCATTCGTTGTGTTTAACGTTCTTATTAGATTGAAGCATAACTACTGATTATACTTAGTGATCTATCTAACACTTGTATGAGTATTTCTGTGGAAAATTCCAGAACTTTGAAGTGTTTCGGTTGATAAAATAAAATTTAATTAAGCTATCATCGGATTTGAGTACAATGACAATCATTTACGAACTATTATCAATCTATTACAAAAACCCGTACGCACGCAACAATATTATAATTAATGAATGTATTTAAAATTGTTTTGAACGTGTTTTACAAAACAAAAAAAAACAGGTAAAGAAAAATTCTGCTTGCGTTTTTATGAGTTTTTGCAATTTTTCTGGCCACATTAAGGTTTTGAAAAAAGGTTTGTAATTTATGTTTATATTTACCAATTGAATAAATAGCACTAGGTTTGATTTTTTATATATTATATGTGTGTATTGAAATTCAGTAATAAAATTTTAAAGATTTGAATTGAAATGGATTAAAGTCTATTTAGACAGCTTGTATTCTTTAAACTGGCAAATGCAAACTGAGAAACCTTTCGCGTTTTTTTTTCAATAAATTCTTTTACTTTTTAAAGTTCTTAAAACATATACAGGTAGGGACTAAAATTTCTATTATTTTTACTGCTTATTTAAAAATTATATACTTTATAGAAACAAGGATGGGTTTTGCAAAATACTGAAAGGAAAAAGAAAAAAATTTTTGAAATGAAAATGTGACTGAGATCATATTTGTTTTTAAAGATTTTAGATAAAAGTGTATTTTTATTTTTTTTCTCAGAAACTAATTCATTAATTGCAAAATCATTCCTTGAAGTTATTAAGAACACTCTCATAAATACAATAAAAAAACTGGGGGTGAGACATTAAAAATTGTAAAAGAAAGACATTTTAATCGTAAAATTTTTTTTCAGAAATTTAAATTAAAAATAATTACTAGCAAAAACTTTTTTTTCAATTAAATTATTTTGTTTCACAAAATCACTTAATAATATTCATAAAAAGGAGATGAAAATGCTTAATTTTTTTTTAAATCATTCAAAAGGTACCCCGAGTCCCTTGTCGCGTTGAAGCCGATATGCACTTGTCTTAACTTTAGTTTTAATTTGAACGATATTTCTGGAATAACCTTGTCTGTCAAGGTAACCATCAAATAACCTTGTCTGTATTTATCTATAATTTCCGTATCTTGTACAGTTCTATCTAATTTGGGGGGGGGGATGCTATCACATCCCCAGGCATCTATCAGCGCGATTGTTTCGCTGATAGTCCAGCGAGCAGTAACTAAAATTAAGTGAACCGCGCAGTATAGTACGGGAAATCTCCTCATTTGCCCTGCTCCCGAGAGGTAAGGAACATCCAACCAAGTTCTACCTCCAATTCGACGAGGCAGTTAATGCTTGTCCCTTGTGAACAGGACACGTTGGAAGAACCGGTCGCTACTGGTCGAATCTGCTTTTGTAAACGGGGCTTATATTTATAAACGCAGCAGAGTTTTATGTACACGTATCACATCTTTAAACAATGAATGAAAGCAGCAAAGCGATTAATTACATGCTTGAAAAGCGAGAGCAGGGAAGAAATGTAATTGCGTATTCAGTAACTGGGGGAGATATATAATAGAAAATTCTTTGATTAGGTTCTGAACGGTGACTGAACAAGAGCTCTACAGCATTGCAGATGTAAATGGTACAGTACGGATTTCAGAACAGGGACATAACCAAAATAAAATCAGGAACTAAGAGGGCTACTGCCAAATTAAGTTATCAATTTTTTTATATTTTATATCTTACATGCGCATATCGTAAATATAAAAACATTTAAATCCAATACGTACATATTAAAACTGCTGCATGTTAATATAAATATAAAAAATAAAATTGTTAGCTTAAGCTGTAAACCACTGTGAATAACCATACTAGTCCAAAATGTCGTGCAAATATATATATATTAGTTCCGTTTTAGAAATAAAAAGTATTTCCACCATTTATTAAAGCACAAGTTTTGTGTAAATTTTGTTTCTGTTATCGCGCACGAAAAAGAAAACAAAAAGGTTGAAAATTGAGATTTAAAAAAAAAAAAACGATTTGCAGGTTTGTTTGGGTTTCTTTGATTACGTTAAAGGGACAAGAGCTACCTGCTCAAGAAGAGGATGCC